AAGTATGCGTATGTGTGTGGCATAAAAGGTTAGGCGGAGTGTTTGGATGTTCTTATATTACTAATGCAGCACAAAAACGCATTTTGGCGAAAACGCCTAAGTATGTACACGGACAAACACACAAACACACGTGCGTGTGTTTGTCTGTGTATTTGTGAATGTCTCTTTTCATCGAGATGTTTCAATCCAGGACAACGAAAGCTTGAATTTTAGAATTCATAAACATATCGTTGTCAGAGATGTACAAATCAAAAGAATGCAAAATCAGCTTTTCTCTTTTCTCCCCTGTTCTTTTATTCTCTTTGTCATGTATGTTCAATCTGTCTTTTTCATACATGGCGAGCAGAATTCCCAATCCAACTCGCATCAGTTGCTCTGTCTGTGTTTACAGCTAAGGGATGAAAAACAGATTACAGACTTGTCCTGTGCATTAGAATATGTAATTTTGCAACAATCTTACAAGATACATTTCAACTTCCTCCTATGTCCTGGAAAATTTGGCCTCAGGACTAGATGTCCTGCCAACATAGCAGCATGTGCCACATGATATTCAGATTTCTATTTACGAATCGTCTGTTTGTTTTCATTCGACAAATAGCTAAAGTTGCATTTGATCGCATCCATATCGAGGAGCGGTAGAAATTTATGGCAACAATGCATCTCGATGCGGTTCTCTTCACTGTGCGCGCCGCAAAATATTTTCGCACTCATTTCCAATATTTGTTAAATATGACTGTAAGTTTCAGGCGAAACTATGATGAATGGTGATGAAAGGGTTAGCAGGAAAGGATCAAGCGATCTTACAACCCCAAAACCACCGCGCCCGGTAAGGCAGCCAAGCAAACAGGGCAAGGAGATACCATCAGGCAGCAATCCACAGCAGCACCAGGACGATACAATGGGCCAACTAAAACGCACATTTGCAGGCATTTTTGGTGAAGTGCAGTGATGCTTGTTCACTTACTACTGCACCTGTCCGCTTTGTAAGATTTTTACCAGTACCACTGACGTCTTGACATCATTCTCCATGCCTTTTGATGTTTTTGATCCACTTCCTAGCCTAATTTTGGGTACTGTTAGTATTCTGTAAGATTTTTTAGCGATGAACTCCAAAACTGAATCAGCGAAAATGACGAAAATTTAATGAAATATCGTTCTTCCAGGAATCCGTCGTTTGATCTGTCACTTCGTCTTTCATTCAAGAGCAGTGGCCTGCACTTTCTCCGCTGTCACGGCGTCCTGTGTTAACTTCCTTTGTTGTATGCAGCTAATCTTGCAAGCATATAATACATCTCCTGCTATTCACTCCCTGATCATAACATTCCTTCCTGAAGCACGTATCCTTGCCATGCTGTTGTCGTACATTTGGGCAGGCTGATCGAAGTCGCCAGAAAATCCCTTTTTTCCTGGGCGAATTACAAATGAGTTAAACCATTTGAGGTCCAGCAAAGTAGTTCAAAACAGCGAATGCCAAATTGCAGTATCGTTAAACTGCGTACCACAACGCACCGTGGATGGTCGATTCTGAATAGTTTATGTTACTGTGTACATCACTAACTACGTACATCACCAACTGTGAACTTTTCTTAATTCTATATGGACATTTTGGAAATTTCGAAAAACGATTAATAATGGCTTTGTTCTGAATGACT